GAAGAAAAAGATGATTGGATATGGGTTTGAGGACGTACAACATGGGGAGTGTTTGATGTTGAAGAGGAAGAATAAGGTATTGAGATTTGTTAATGGAGGGTGGGGTGGTGATGGTGTTAGGTGGGGGTGGTTGAGGTTGAAGTAGAAGAAGAATACTCCGTAATTGTTTGTGTAATTGTGTAACAAGATGGCAGGTCGGCAAGGGCTGGAGGGGGAAATAGAGGGCAAAATTGGAAAGTCAGAGTAATTTTCACTTTACATTAAAATTCGTGCCAAGTCAAAACGAGAAGTTTCAACTGGGACGGAGGGAGTATATTCTTTAAACAAATTAAAGGACAAATCATAGTGCATACATACAGACCATCACAATGCGTGCACAATTTACAAAATGTATTACATCTATATATGAAAATGGTGCATACAAATAAATAATTATCACACGAGAAAAACTTCCTTAATTTCCTCTAAATAACTAAAATCATTATCAAGTGCACCAAAAAATAGCTGCCAGGTACCCCTTATTTTGGGATAAAGACTGGCAGGTCCCATTCTTTTCTTCTTTTCTTCTTTTCTTCTTCTTTCTCCTGCCTTCCAGAGTTCGAGTGACCTCCATTCCTCCCCCCACCCCCATTTTTTTCTTCTTCTATTATAATTATTATTATTTGTTAATAATTATTATAATTAATTACTTCATAATTATTATTTTCTTATTCTATTATTATTATTAATTTTTTGATTTATTATTATTAAAAATTAATTGTTAGTTTTACCACTCTTTTCTATAAAAACACTAATTGTTATTTAGAAAAATAGCACTTATTATAAAATAACACTTATTATTAATACTGATGGGTATATCGTTATACCCGACCCGGATAACCACCGTGGGGCCGATTTTTAAAATTTTTTCGACCAGGTCTAAACTTCACCCCCACTAAATATCCACAATCATGTCTTCAAGCAACCACAACACTGTGTCAAGCCAGGCTGCGAGTGAAAAGCACTCCTGCCATCCCATTGATGATGCCAGGCATGGGGACGACCTTTGCCCCGATCACCACGGTAGGATCAGTTGGCATGATCCCAATCATGTCAACCCCTACTCCTACGCCGACAACAACAATGTTCCCAGGCTCGATAACAACGCCTGGTGGAGCATTCACACCATACCCGTCAGCTTGGGCTCAGTTTGCTACTGACCCGGCAAATGCTCAGGCTCTACAGGGCTATCAACAAGTGATGGCCATGATGCAACAGGCAGGGGGCTTCATGCCATTTGCCTATCCTGGTATGACTCCACCAATCATGCCACCTCCGGTGTCGACCCCGTCGACATTTGTCCCTAGGATGGTCCCTATACGTCCGTTGAATCTGACGGGGACCATGAACGAGGCAGCGCCTTCAAATGTCCATGAAGTTGATGAGGCAGAACAGGAGGCGGCTCGCAGGAGGAAGGGTAAGGCTATAGCCAAACCCAGCAAGACCCGAGATTCGGCGTTCAAACGCCTAGGGGACAAAGAGGATGGGCCCCGCAAGTCTGCCAAGCTACGTCTTGGTCCTGAGATGGGCCGGACTAGCGCTATGGAAAGACTTGGTGGGAATCGTCCTAACCAATCTCGTCGTTCCAGGGAATCTGAGACGATTCACCTGGACGAGGAAGAAGCCGAAAGCCAGCCCAGGGCGTCGGCATATACCAGGCTCTCTTATGATGAGGACGACCTGGACAAGATAGGGAGCGTAGCAAGAAAGCTACGTGCCCTGGAGGAAAAGGTGAAAGAGAAAGCAGGAGCGAAAAAGCACACCCTGGCCAAATCACCCTTTTCGGCCAGGGTACATGCACAAAAGTTGAGGCAGAAGATCAAGTTGGACGTAGAGAAATTTACTGGAAAGGAGGATCCAAATGTCCACCTTGACACCTTCCATAACGCAGCACAAATGGCCGGGTGCACTGATGCTGAGGAGTGCTTGCTCTTCTTCTCATCCTTGAGAGGGCGGCCAGTGGAATGGTTTAACGGCCTTCCCCATGGCAGAATTGGGTCCTTTGAGAAACTTGCCGAAGTTTTTCGTAAAAAGTACCAGGACAACTGCATTAAGAGGAAGAAATTCACCTACCTTAACACAGTAGGGCAGAGGGAAAAGGAGTCCTTGACTCAATTCTTAACACGCTGGAGGGACAAGGTTGATAAGGTAGAGGAAATGGATGATAAAACGGCCATGTCTTTGCTGATGAATGCCTTCCGGTCGGGTGACCTCTACACTGAATTCTGTAGGAGGCCACCCTCCTCTTATCAGGAATCCTACAATACGGAATGGGAATATGCCGAGGCGGAGGTCCTGAACAAGAGCAAGCGGGAGCTGGAGGAAGGCTACACAAAGGTGAAATCCGACAAGCCAAAGAAGGATGACCAGACGGGAGGTTCCAAGCCAAAGGCCACATATGACGGGTCCGTCCACCAAATAAGGGATGACAAGAAAGCAGAGCAGCCCAAGAGGCCATGGACGGAGAATTGGTGCACATACCACCAATCTGATTCCCATAATACGGCGGATTGCCGAAATGTCAAGGCTGTGCTCAAGGAGATGGCCTTGAAGGGAGAGCTTGGGGAAGGTTACGTGACGGGGAATAAAAAGGACCCAAAAACGAACACTTGGACCCGTCCTCAAGGAAAAGACCAAGGAAGGAGAAAATCAGGGAAGGACGATAGGCCGGATAAGGAGTTCATAGAGATGATTGTTGGCGGTCTGGAAGGTGGGGATACTGCCTCCCAGCGGAAGAATTGGGCCAGGAGTCTACATGTGTCGGTGGTTTCCCTAGAGTCACATGGGAAGCAGGTAAGGAGGGAACCTATCACATTCACTGATAGGGATCTGCCCAGGACGGGGGGAGATCATAATGACCCTTTGGTCATTACAATGGACATCAACGGGGCTGATGTGGCTAGGGTCCTGGTTGACACAGGAAGCAGTGTCAATGTTCTATACTTAGATACTTTCAAGAAATTGAAGCTGGACAGGTCCATGCTAAGGCCACTACAAACTCCATTGTCGGGCTTCACTGGAGCTAGCATAGAAGCGGAAGGTCAGATCACCTTACCAGTTACCTTGGGGTCGGGTAACAAAACAGTAACCAAACAAATGAGATTCGTTGTGGTTGATATCAAGTGTGTACATAATGCCATTCTTGGTAGACCTGGAATCAACCAGGTCAGGGCCATTATTTCTATGGCACAATTATGCATGAAATTCTATACTCCCAATGGGATTGGGGAGGAAAGGGGAGATCAAAAGAACGCCCGGTCCTGCTACCTAGAAGCGGTCAAGAAGATGACCCGCTAGTTCGAACAAATTGAACTGGTCTCCCAGCAGGTCGACAAGGGTGAGGAGAAGGCTAGGATCGAGCCGGATGCAAACACAGAGGAGATCCAGATTGATGCTTCCAATCCTGAGAGGAAGGTCAAGATTGGGGCTGATCTTCAAGAGGAGCTAAGGACTGAGATTGTCCAGGTGCTGACCAGGTATAAATCTTTGTTTGCTTGGAGTGTTGCTGATATGCCCGGAATTGGCTGGTCAGTCATTTGCCATCGTCTCTCTGTTCTTGAGGGGTCTAGGCCTGTAAGACAGAAGAAGAGATTCTTGGCAAGTGAAAGGAGGGACTTTGTGAAAAAGGAGGTCAAGGACCTACTAGAGGTTGGTCATATAAGGGAAGTAAATTACCCTGAATGGCTGGCCAACGTAGTCCTGGCTCCGAAGGGTGATACTTGGAGGATGTGCGTGGACTATACAGACCTCAACAAGGCATGCCCAATGGATTCTTATCCTCTCCCCAGCCCGGACCAAATGGTTGATGAAACCGCCGGGTGTGAGCTGCTAAGTTTCATGGATGCCTTTAAAGGGTATCATCAGATCTTCATGGCAGATGATGACGAGGAAAAGACGGCCTTCCTCACCCCAGATGGGACATACTGTTACAAGGTGATGGCCTTTGGGTTGAAAAACTCAGGGGCGACTTACCAGAGGATGGTAAACAAATTGTTCAGGCCTTTACTTGGACGGACCATGGAGGCCTATGTCGATGACATGCTGGTGAAAAGCAGGACAGCCAACACACACGCTCAAGACCTGGAAAAATGTTTTGAGATTATGGCTAGGCATAATCTTAGACTTAATCCAAAGAAGTGTGTTTTTGCCGTAAGGACGGGGAAATTCTTGGGCTTCATGGTTACGAAGAGGGGGATTGAGCCAAATCCTGAGAAGATCAAGGCCATTGTTGAGATGCAACCCCCAACCTCGGTAAGGGATGTCCAGAGATTAACAGGGCGCTTGGCGGCCTTAAACCGATTCTTGTCCAGGTCGGCAGAGAAGGCGTTGCCTTTCTTTAAAGTTTTAAAGAAAGCCAATACCTTCCAGTGGGATGATGAATGCGCCAGAGCATTCGAAGAGCTAAAGACATACCTGGCTTCGGACATTGTCTTGTCCAAGCCAGAAACGAAGGAGACCCTCTACCTCTACCTGGGGGTGACCCAAATGGCTGTTAGCTCGGTCTTGATGAGGGATGATGGAGTCCAGAGGCCTATCTATTATGTGAGCAAGGCTTTGAATGGGGCGGAAAGTAGGTATACACCTACAGAAAAGGCAGGGTATGCACTTTTCATAACGGCGAAGAAACTCACCTCTTACTTCCAGGCCCATCCTATTATCGTGCTGACCGACCTACCATTGGGTACGGTCATGAGGGACTCCACCTCATCAGGAAGAATGATCAAATGGGCCATGATGTTGACTCAATTCAACATCGAATATCGCCCGAGGACAGCGATAAAAGGACAGGCCGTGGCTGATTTTCTTGCGGAGATGGCGGGTCACCAGGAAGAAGAACCGGCTAGGGCTATCACAGAGCCTTGGTGGTCCATGTCGGTAGATGGAGCCTCTAGACCAAAAGGTTACGGGGGAGGTGTAGTATTCACAACTCCGGAAGGGTTCAAGGTATATCATGCCTTGATCTTCAATTTCAAGCTCACAAACAACGAGGCTGAGTATGAGGCATTGATAGGGGGTCTGAGATTGGCCAAAACCCTACAAATCACATGCCTCAGGATCAAATCCGATTCGAGCTTGGTGGTAGGCCACATCAATGGCAACATGGAGGCCAAAGGAGAAAAGATGCAGAAGTACAGAGACTTGGCAAAGGCATTACTAAAGGACCTGACCGAATATGTGATAGAGCAAATCCCAAGGGCGGAGAATACTGATGCTGACTTGCTATCTAAATTGACGCAAGCAGCCCCGGAGCATGTGTCTAAGCTGGCTAGGATTGAGACACTAGAAAAAGCCAGCATTGAAGGGTTTTCTGTGAGCATGATAGAGGAAGATGGACATCCCATATCTGGCCAAGTGGAGCCAAATGATATTTGGATGGATGACTTGGTCAAATACTACATGACCGGGCAATTCCCTGAGGATGAGGACAGGGTAAGAAAAGTAAAGTTAAGAGCTCCCAGATTCCAAATGCTTGATGGAAGGCTATACAAAAGAGCATTCGGCGGTCCATTGCTCAGGTGCTTGACTAGGGCAGAGGCGGAAAGAGTGATTGCTGAAGTTCATGAGGGTGTCTGTGCAGCCCACCAAATGTCCAGGACACTCGCCCAGAGGATCATTTTGCTAGGTTATTTCTGGCCTACAATGAACCAGGATTGCGAGAAGTATGTCCAGAGATGCAAGACCTGCCAGGTCTTCTACAAGTTTCCGGGAAGGCCTGCGACATACTACCATCCAGTTTCTAATGTTATTCCATTTGTAAGGTTTGGGATGGACATCATTGGAGCCTTCCCTCAAGCTCAAGGGAGGAAGAAGTATGTAATGGTTGCTATCGACTACTTCACAAAATGGGTAGAGACCAAGGCATATGCAACCATTACAACCAAGCAATGCCAGCGCTTCGTGTGGAAAAACATCATCACTAGGTTCGGGTCTCCACGGAACATCGTGACGGATAACGGGCCTCAATTTCGAAATCCAGGGTTCACCAAGTACCTGGAGGACTTCGGGATTGCCCACAACAAGGCTTCCGTGGCCTACCTGCAAGGGAATGGCCAAGTGGAAAATGCGAACCGAACTATAGTGGATGGGATCAAGAAGCGGTTGGGTGAGGCAGGAACAAATTGGCTAGAGGAGCTGCCACATATCATATGGGCATACCGGGTCACTTCGAGAAGGGCCACCGGGGAGACACCTTTCGTCCTTACATATGGATGTGAGGCTAGACTACCCATTGAAGCAAAAATAATGACCTTCCGGGAAAAGATCTATGAGGAGAAAGGGAATGAGGAAGATCATTTGGCAGAGTTGAACTTGTTGGAGGAAAGGCGGATGGTTGCTGAGGCTAAAATGATAGAGTACCAGCAAGCAGCCAAGGCCTACCATGATAACAAGGTAGGGCCTCGCTATTTCCAGGTTGGTGATGAGGTCCTAAGACGAAGAGAGGCCAGTAAACCTGGTGATGGGGGGAAGCTTGCAAAGAAATGGGAAGGTCCATATAGGGTCAAGGCAATACTACGCCCAGGGACATACAAGTTGGAAACAATGGAAGGTCGAGAATTGGAAAGGTGCTGGAATTCCCACCACCTTAGAAAATTCTACCGATAGGCCAAATGGCAAGACATGCATTTGTAATACCCTTTTGATGATGAATAAAAGCTTTCTTCAATATGAGTGATGTTGGGTCAGTGATGCTAAAATAACTTGTCTTGATGTAAGAGGCAAGGTTAAAAAAAAGAAAAGAAAAGATAAACCCTTGAGATAGGGGCCTTGATGTTGAGGTATAGCCTTGAGATAGGCTGGGTCTGGAAGAAGACTCGCATCCATACTTACATGGATCCTTGCCAAATTTTGGTTTGGTTAGGGGCTAAAAGATGCCAGAATAAAAAAGAAATTACCATCTTACATGAGTCATCCTTTGCGGATTGAAGGGTCTAGGGAAGACTAGAGTTCACTTCAAACGCATAACATATGGACATGTAAGATTGGATGAGGGCTGGTTCTCACCGGCGTACCCCCACGAGGGAAGATTGGGTTGGCTAGGTCAACCTAATGATTAAAGAATGGCACATTAAAAGACTTAAAACCTGGAAGAGGGGTCCTGGAAGAAGGGTGTTGCCTGGAAGAGGGCTGAACCTTGGAGAGGGTTCGCGATCATAGGACATGGTCAAAATCTCCGAAGAAAGTTCGGGTCTTGATGTTGAGACTTGATGATTCCAAAAATTTTTCGGATTGTTCATTCAAAATTTGAGCAAGGTTGATGTTAGGCATGACATCCAGGCCAAAGGGGGAAAGGAAAGTGGCATGGTCAAAAGTGACCGGTCACTTTTTGATGTTCTGGATTGGCCAGAAAATGCGAATGGGAAAAAATATTTTTTGACCGGTCAGCTTTGAGAAAAGTGACCGGTCACTTTTTTCGGGTTGGATTTGAGCAAATCAGGCAAATCTGGAAAACTTCATTTTTGACCGGTCATATTTTTGACCCAGCACCTGGACAGAAAATTTGACGTCGTACTGGTTATGTAGCGCAACCAAACCATTACAGCTGGACCAGGACAAATCCAACCTAGAAGGTTGTTGCATTTCAACCTGGAAATAACCTAGACGTTTTTCAAGACAAGAGACCAGGGCATAAGATGACCTGGAAGTATTCAAGCCTTGCATCCAAAGTGCTTTTCAAAAGTTTTAACCTAGCCTACTACACCAGGACATGAGATGACCTGGACGTTTGTTGCAGTTCAACCTAGACATAAGCCGGTCCAAAAGACTAGTCAGGCATGAGGCGCCCTGGACCTAGACGTTTCCAAGATTACAAGACCTGAACATTTTCAAGAGATGAAATTGACCAGGACATTAAAGGACCTAGACGATTCCAACCACGCCAAGTAGGCCGGTTACGTTTATTGACTTGGAAGCAAACATGATCTGGACATTCTTTAAAAACAATTCCTAAAGTTCAAGACCGGCTACACTTATTGACTTGGAAGTTCAATGAAAGGCAGTCAAGAAAAAGCAAATATGACCAAGCAACTCCAAAGCGGGAAAACAACCAGGCAAAGAAAATATCCAAGCAAGTAAAACAACTATGCAAAAGGGATAACAAAGGGAAGAAGTTCAACCATTCAAAGATTCAAGCAAAGACACCGGTAAAGATTGAAGGCATACCAAGAAAATTTAAATATCATTAGTCAAAAGTAGGCCGGACATTCCCCAGGCCTTGGAAAGTTCAGTTTTTAAAGAAAAACCCTAACCTAGTTTAGGGGAAAGGGGGGAGCTGGCTCTTCCTTGTACAAAGGAGGAAGCTTCATCTTGGCCGGGTCAAAGGAAGGGTCCCTCTTCTGAAGCCTTGTATAGAGGAGTGACCTCTCATCCTTCTGACCGCATTGGAAACCATATGAGCCGATATCGGTTATCATCTTTTTTCCCTCCGGCTCCTTGTACATGGTCTTGAAGAAGGCCATTGTCTCCTCCGGCCCAACTAGAATAGACCGGGCAGTCTCGATATGATGCCCGGCCGCCCATCGTGCAGCCTCATCAGGGAAGGATTGCTCCTTTGACCGGGCAGTCTCTTCAGCTTGGGCCAAAACATCTTCCAACTCTGCCACCTTCCTCTTTGCCTCCACCAGCTTGGCCCTTTCCTCCTCTAACCTGGCCCTTTCAGCCATCAGATCTTCTTCCAGCTTCTTCTCCCTCTCAACCCGGTCATTGATCTCTATCTTAGCAGAGTCAAGGAGGAGGGTAAGCTCGGAGACCTGGTCCTTTGGTTCAAAGATTGACCGGCCAACTTCTTCAGATAAGATCCCGACCTGGAAAAGAAACTTGTCAGTAAAAGCAAAGGAAGAAATTAAACCGGGAGGAAAATCAGAGTTGGTACCTTGCTGAGTTTCTGGGCCAAGGATAGGAAAGTTACTTCAATGGATTCCCCCTCCAAATCTGATAGCCTGACCTTCTTCTTCCTTTCTCCCTTTGAAGTCTTGTGGGAACCCTTCCTTTTGTGAGAGGAAGCATGACCGATCTCTTTTCCTTTGGCCTTGACATCTTTCCTAGGAGAAGGGACCCGGTCACTTTCAGAGAGATGAGTGGCTGGAGGAGATTTCTGCTTCTGGCTCTCTTCATGGGTAGGGCTACACCGGGCACTTGCAGCCTCGTCCATTTCAGGGATCAAAGAAGGAGAAGGAGGCTTGGAAAGAGGAGACCGGTTGAAAGGAAGGACTTGGACATCATCGTCATCATCCTCGAGGATGGTGGTCATCCTGTTGAAGTCCATGTCTGCCAAAAAGAACAAAGTAACAAGTTACCGGTTAGTTTTGTATACATAAATAAAGAAAATGAAAGTAAGAAGCTTGAGAGAGGATGATCGACCTGGATGAGGAGAACTGGCCTCAGCATGATCTTCCGGGGAATTGGCCCGGTCATCTTCTGCGTCATGGGTCGCAGATACACCCCCATCCGGATTACGTAACCGGTACACCCAGCCCCCATAGGCATAGGGTTTCCCGGTTACAGGATCACCCTTGAGAAGTTTCTCACAGGCGTCTTGAAGCTTTTTAGTAGGTGCCGGGTGAACCCTTTCAGGTTTTATAACCCGGTCAGCCCACTCACGATGAGAAAGAGGAAATTGGTCAGAGGGGAACTTGATGAAAACAAATATTTGTTTCCATTTCTTATGGCTAGGGGGAAGACCGGTTATAAAACCCCTAGAGTTGGCACGGGAATGGAAATAAACAAAACTCGGGCAGTTACTAGTCCCGGGCAAGACATCATACATATGGAGAAAAAGATCAAGAGAAGGGTCGATATGTAGAGATTCACAAATATTCACAAAACAATTTAAGAACCGGAGAGCATTTGGAGTAAGTTGGCCGGTCAAAAGATTGAACTTATTACAGATTTCTACAAGGAGGGGGCGAAGAGGAAAGATAATGCCTCCCTCTAGCGAAGCAACATGGAAACCCAACCGGTTTCCCTGGTGGGGGTCTATGATGTTGGGCCAGGTGGTTTTAGAAAGGACTTTATAGCCCGGTGGAAGGACAGCACCTCAGCCAGGACCTTCTTTGTAACCCTAGAAGACTCTTTGAAAACCGGTCCTGAGTCAAGGGCTAGGTAACCCAGCGACCCCAATCGTTCTTCCCATTGGTCCCAATTGAGGACCTTGGGATTGAACCGACCGGGTAGTTGGTTCAGAGGGACAGGCTCCTGGGCAATTATTTCCCAGGCCTGAGAGCTAGACTGGTTAGAGGGGCGGCGGATCAAAGGAGTGACAGGGGGAGAAGACTCAGATTGGTTAGAGGAAGAGGGTTGAGAACCCGATCCATAAGATTGACCGGATACATTTTGTGAGTCAGAGGAAGACATGATTTCAGCCTACCGGTCAAAATTAAAAAGATGGAAGAATTAAAAGACTAGGAGGACTGGAGGACTTACTTAGCAGAAGGCTAGAGAGAGAAAGTAGACCGGTTAAAACTTGAGGAGCGAAGGAGAGAAGTGAAGGAATGAAGTGGGTTGAAGGAGTATTTATAGGAGAGAGAGACGGGTTGGAACTCGAGGCAATAGGTGGAAGGCCGAGGGTGTGACACGTGTAATAGATAATGATGAGGGGGAAAATTTTGAAATTTGAAAGTGGAAGTTGAAAGGTTTTGGGGGGAAATTCCAAAACTAAAAGGTCAGGCCCAACGTTTGGACTACCGCAGATCCAAACGGACAGGTCATGTAGTGTATTCCACAAAGCCAAAAGTGCCAGGTCTGATTTGAAGTCGGTGAATCCAAGAAATGGGCAGGTCTCCATAGAAAGATCATGGGAATGGCTTGGCAATTTCGAAAAAGGACAGGTCAATAAGAAAGCCTTTATGAATTTAAAAAGAAGGATAGGTCTTGAAAAAGAAAGGCTTGGCAATCCAAAAAAAGACAGGTCAACAAGAATGGCTTGATGATTCCAAAGAAGGACAAGTCTTAGAGGGAAGGCTTGACGATTCAAAAGGACAGGTCATGAGAGAGACTAGGCGATAGGAAAGGACTGGTCAGCAAGGGTGACTTGATGATTTCAAAATGTGATAGGTCAACACAAGTATACTTCCCGCCCTTGATGATTTCCTCACAAGGCCGGTAAGTGGAGAACTTCTTGATGGGTATATCGTTATACCCGACCCGGATAACCAAAAGGGACAGGTCAAAATATGACCGGTCACTTTTATCAAGTCACCAAATGATGTTAACTCTTCGATTGGGACGGGTCAAAAAATGACCGGTCACTTCCACTAAAAAAGGTGACCGGTCACATTTTGGGCGTTAACCAATTCGTCACTTAATGATACTCCAGAGGACCAAAGAGATGGGTTGAACTCAAGAAAGGACCGGGTAACCTTTGAGGAAAGGTGACTGGTCAGGTTGCTTTACTTGAGAAGAGCAATCAACAACAGAGGCTATGGGACACCCCGCCGCTCATCCGTCACGAGGCAAACAGTGAAGGGAATGATTGGCGTTTTGCAGGGTTGATTGGATTGAGAATATCCATTTTAGTCTTTGATTGAACAGTGCTTTTTGGTTGTATTGGTAGTAAATCTATGAGTGTACAGTACTTCCATTATCTACAGTGACCTTCCCACGAGCTTCCTATTTTGTCCATGGATGAACAGGGGAAGGTCACAAATCCTCCTCTATAAATATGATGATATGGGATAGAGGAGGGGACAAAATTCTTTCTCTCACTAAAAACTAGTACACTCTTGAGACAGAGTAAGAAATATATTTCGGACTGAGGAGATTTGCCCAGTCTAGGTCATACTTTGTGTTCTTGTTGTGTGTTTTATATTACGGGTCAAGTGTCCGGGTTAAACCCCGTTAACCCGCCCATCTATATTTACACCATCAAATACTATTATTTATTTTAAGCAATTAATTAGTAATTTTACTTCTATACTTTTTTAAAAAATACCACTAGTTATTATTATTACTTCATATTAATTACTCCTCTGTTCTAGAGTATTTGTCTACTTTTGTTTTTTGGTCAAAATTGATAATATTACTTTATCGAATTAATATAAAATATACGGAGTATGTTTTATTTAATAATATTTCAAAAATTAAAAACAGTAAATTGAAAAAAGTCAAAACGTGACATATGCTCTGAGACAGAGATAATATTACAACGTATATGAATTACAACGTATAATTTATAACCAAGTGAATAAATAATTTTAATTTTATAAATGATACGTAAATATATTACTAAAATTAATTTTCAATTAAAGATTTAGAGTAGTAAAACTAATAAAAAAAGTTATAGTAGTAAAAATACTAATAAAATAAAATAATAATAATAAATACTACCTCTGTCCCCCTGTATTTGTCCACTTTCATTTCTGCACACCATCCAATGTACTTCTTTAATCCATTTTATCTTGTAATTTGTATATTAAAAAATTATATAAATTATATATTAATAATCTATATGTTAAGACAAATCAAACAAGATCACACATGACTATATTTAGGCTTACACATTGAGAGATTTTGATGAGTCAAAGTACGTAGATGAACAGTTCCAAAAGTCAAATGTGGACAAATATAGGGGGATGGAGGGAGTAATTATTATAATAATAATAAATAATAAAATAACAATACCTAATAAAATATGAAGTAATAAGAGAACGAAGAAGAAAAGAAGAAGAAGAAGGGGCTGTTTGTTTCAGCCTCTTAATGGTTCAGATGTCTGAATGATTCAGCACTTAATGGTTCAGACTGTTTGTTTCAGCCTCTTAATGGTTCAGATGTCTGAATGGTTAAGAGATTTGCCTCTGAATGGTTAAGTATTATACAGAGTCTGAATGGTTAAGAGCTATTATCTGAATTGATCAGACATTTGCCTCTGAATAGTTAANCTGTTTGTTTCAGCCTCTTAATGGTTCAGATGTCTGAATGATTCAGCACTTAATGGTTCAGACTGTTTGTTTCAGCCTCTTAATGGTTCAGATGTCTGAATGGTTAAGAGATTTGCCTCTGAATGGTTAAGTATTATACAGAGTCTGAATGGTTAAGAGCTATTATCTGAATTGATCAGACATTTGCCTCTGAATAGTTAATCAATATACTAGCTCTTAATGGTTCAGACCTCTTACTGGTTCAGCACTTAATGGTTCAGACCTCTTACTGGTTCAGCACTTACCTATTCAGAAGTTGCCAAACAGCCCCGAAGAAGAAGAAGAAGAAGAAGAAGAAGAAGAAGAAGAAGAAGAAGAAGAAAAGAAGCAGAAGAAACGAAGAAAAGAAGAAAAAGAAGAAAAAGAAGAAGAAAAGAAGAAAAAAAGAAGAAGAAGAGGATAACGGAGAAGGAATATTAACCGTGCAATGAACGGAAGTTCCCTCTTCAGTCACAAATATCATATTTTAAATTCCCATGAGTAAATTTTTTAAAAAAATGGGACTTGCCAGTCTTTATCCCAAAATAAGGGGTACCTTGCAGCAATTTTTTGAGAAGAGGAGGAGGAGGATAACGGAGAAGAAATGTTAACGGAGAGAATGACGGATTGTCATCCCGGAGTCAGTTTTCGAATATCTTAAGGTACCTCGGAGTATATTTTGAAAAACATATAGTTAATATGGATGGGTTAACCCAGCATATTAGGGGTAATCTGGGTACCCAGCAGCAATTTTTTGTAAAAGGATGAGTTAACCCGGGTCGGCGGTTTTTGCCGGGTCTGCTGGTTTCCAGCGGGTCAAAAGCTGGGTTTTGATATTTAACCAGATCGGGAAGCTCACCGGTTCGCAATCTGACCGATCAAACGGGCCAGTCCGGTCCGGTTTTAAAATCATTGATAAAAACAAGAGTTTAGTATGTGACTAACACTTTCTCTTATTTTAATAAGTTTCATAAATAACAAATTTGTGAAATTTTTGTTAACATTTTGGTTTTACGGCTAGGAATGGGTGACAAACACATTACATAAACTCAAATCCAATAACACTGAGTTATGAAAAAAGCATTCTTCAACTTGAATATAATCTTGGCATTCTGAGCATTTAGTGGTTGGTTATACTGAAAATCAAAAGATATTCCCAAAAGAAAGTGGCAGTAGAGGAAGCATGTGTAACCAACCGCAATGGAAATTGATTTAGCTCAAGGATAAGAAGGATTTAAACTACAAATGCTTTGATTCCTAAAGCAACCGCACAAATTGGGCAGAAAATAAAAACGTACAGTGCCACCAACAAAATAAACGTGTGATATGAGAATACCAAGTCGTTTATCATTCGCAATTCATAATAATTCAAAAGTTGGTTGTGCCCATCATCAAGATTTGACTTGTCTAAGCATATGCATGAATAAACTACCGCAGAGGGATTAATTTGAGGATAAATACCAGTCATCAGTACACATAATATGATCATAATAATAAATAGGAAGCTGATCAAACCGAAAACAGTTCAAGCCGGGGGGACAGGGACTGGAGCTTTGATTTTGGGTTTAACAAAGCTGTGTTCTTGCGAATGGCAAGAGGGACACAGATTGCTATGCACCAGCCATTTCACAGCACAGTGTGAATGAAAAGCATGCTGACATCTGAGATGGGTTATGACATCCCCAATGGTAGGCTTGCGAGAGCAAATCTGGCACGCATCCATCAGAGCCCTCCCCTGCTCCACGCTTTCCACTCTAATCCTGGGTAGTAGGCGCAAGTGGCTTTCAAGCATTGGGCTCACCGGATAGGGCGGACGCACCCCCAGTGTGTTCAAGTAAACCGGGCGCAAGCGGTCGGGCTGGATTGCCCTTTCAAAGGTGGCACTAATCGGCTCACCCGCCTGCTGCACAGTGCAAACCTCAATCTCCACCACAACTGGGATAACATCTCGATCAGGATTTTCTATCTCACTCTTTCTTGCATAATCAAAAGCATCACAACACAAACTGCCTGTCTCATCTAACACCATCCAATAGTCCTCCCACAGCCTGCGCCTCGCCACAATACATGCACCCTCATCTTTTACGCACCGTTCATGGAATCTCTCTGAACCCACAACAGTACGCTTACCTTGTTCTTCTTCCACCATGAACTTGGTTCTGAACTCAAAGAAAAACACTTTGAAACCACTCCCCTTTGTATTTTGAAGGGGTACATATCGTGCCATTATCTCATCATCCATCCGACACGTATGACGGTACGCATATCCAAATCCACTGCCCATCTCTATCTGCCTGCCTGTCTTCTTCTAAACCAACAAGAAACAACAACCACACAGACTTTTAAGCCAATCCTTGATTACCCCTTAGACCTCAACCATCAATCATTTAAATACTCAGTAAATAAATCCCAACATCGAATTAGAGGAATTTTTATATGTACTGCTTTTCTTATGATATTTTGCAAGACATTAGTAAAGCAAGAAACCAGAAATTTCTTTATCCTCCCTATCCCTAAACAAGAACCAAGAAACAAAAGATACAGATTTTGGGCTGATCCACGATGGTTCCTTCACCTCAATCAGATCTAGGAGATCAACAACTAAATAAATCAATCAAACATGGAAATTTTACACATGGAGATATTTAGAACGAAGAAATTACCTCTAGAGATTGAGGGAGACGCCGACTGCAGAAAGCGATGGAATTCAGGACTACTGAACGAACTTTGGCAGGAGTAATCTTTATTTCTTGGGTGGGGTGTGCTGGGGTTGGGCTTGGGCTTCGGCCCTCTCTTTTGTAACTCTACGGGTCCTGTACTAAATCACTCTCCAAATTCTCACCCATTCTCGCTCTAAGAGGGGTGTATTCAATTTAGATTTTTGAAAATTATTGACGTCGTAAAAATCATTTTTATAATATATTGACAATGTCAATCTAATTCTATTTTTAAAATACATTTTTATTGTTGCCTGTAATTTGAGTTTCTAAAGTTTTGATCTTTTATAAGATGAGATATTTTAATAAAATTACTATTTCTCTATATCGATTATCTAAATTTAATTATTTTTTAATGTATATATAAATTAAATATTATTCTAATATATATATATGAACTAATTACTAAAATATTAAATCAATATTCTTATTTCACAAAAAAATAATCATAAAATAAAAATTTTTATTACATTTGATGGATACCCGGGAATAGGGGTATCCAGCCCAACAGGAAAGTGGCCCAGCCCAACTACGCCAAGGCCCACTTGGCAAAAACCAAGATGAAGAGCCATCGGAGATCGCCTCGGCAAGTATCATACGATCGGCCTCAGCTGGGTCACCCTCGGACCGACCCGGCCGGTCTCCCGTCCGGAGAAACCCCGAGTATGTATGTCATGTGCTCGGCCTCGGTCCTGGCCAACTACGGAACGGACCTAGACAAGGGAGCTGAATGGAGTCAAGATCAAGGGACCCACGATTGGACACCTGCCATGCCTCTGGCAGAGTTGCTATAGCCACCCTACTTGTAACCTACTGTGTATAGCAGTCCTAGGGTTAATTATGTGGTTGGACGCCGCCAGTAAACAACCCAATCTTAGTGGGCCGGACCGTTGGATTATGAACCAACGGTCAGAACCCTAGTTGTAACTTGTATATAAACCTTTTCCCTTCTAAGGGAAGGGGGACTTACGTTCTAACTGAGATTCCAACTAATACAATATTATTCTCGGTTTACTTGACCGCATATTTTTCGTGCACTCGTACTTAGTTCAATACTCTTCCGCCTAGTTACCTAGGCCCCGGGTTCCATAACCCAACAACATTATAATATAAATGATTGTTCTAAAATATGAATTAACTAATTTTATTTTATTAATAAATAATCATAAAATAAAAAATATTGATTATATTATAATATGAAATGTCATCACAATTTTCAAACATTATCATAAAGTCAAATCAAATTTTTTATTTGAACTTTAAATCAAATCATAATTGATCACATCAGATTAGACCATATCAAATCAGACCCAATCAAATTAGATCATATCCAATCAGATCACCAGACTATATTAGATCCAATCAGATTAGATCAGATTAGATCGGACCAGACCAAATCAGATCCAATCAGATCAAATTAGATGAGATCCAATTCGATCAGATCGGACCAGATCAGATCTGAACTACAAGAAATCAAATCAGAAAAAATAAACTGAATGGAACGGAGCCTAAAGTACATATAAACACCGTGTTCTCTTATTTCTTTGTAATGCTATGAGAGCTGTTTAGAATTTTAATGAACATTAGACACCAACAAATATAAAACATTAAAGTATTCATAACATTAAACATTAAATCCTGATGGTGTCTGTTTTGTAGCATGAACTTTAAATTTGTGAACAAGTGAACAACTATTCATAACAGTGATACCATTAAACAAAAAACTCATAACACTTAAGTTTTTTATTAGAGGGTATTTATTTCTGTTTGATAGATGTTACTTCTAAGATAATTATTTTGATACGGTATCGTATCGGGATAGTGAAGGATTTCGAGCACCTTCGAGTTCCAAGAAAAAAAGATGCGAGAAAAAAAGAATTGCACGACACTTTGTTCGGCAGAATAGAAGAACGAGAGGGAAGAAGAAAAGATTAAAGTTTAGGAGAAAGTATTTCTTTTATTCATTGAATAATAAACTTATGAATATTGGCTACATATATATATCGTAGAGCTAAAGAATCCTAGCCATAAAAGGTAATTAAATAAATCAAAATACTATTACCTAATATAATAATATTCCATAACCATAAATAATAAACTACCTATAATAATAATAACCATAAATAATAATTATCTAATGATAATAATAATAATAATAATAATAATAATAAAAATAATAATAATAATAATAATAGTAATAATAATAATAAAAATAATAATAATAATAATAATAATAATAATAAATCCCGTATCACTCTCCCCGCCTCAAAAACCAACTTGTCTTCAAGTTGAAAATTCAACAAAGAACGAGCCGGGGGGAAAATGTGTCATTCATCGTCCATCCTCCGGGGTCAAACACCTTCGATATTGGAGCATCAAAAGAACGTGTTGGACCTACAACATCTCCAACACTAGTTAAATAATTGCCTGCGACCAACTCGATGAAAAGAATGCAACCGGGTGCAATACTTCTTGATTTACAAATAACAATAACCTCAACATCAGGAATTCCAAAGCTTTTTGTGCATCCATAAACAAATAGAATGCCCCCAAAAACTTCCTCGCGGCCTTGATGGTGTGCATCCTCATGAACATCGTCTGTAGGAACAGGATCGGTAACAATAACAAAAGCATCATCGGAAATACCTACCGGATGAACAACAATTTCCCCCTTCATCATGAGTGACTTATTGGTATTCATGATATTGGACCCACTTTTCTTGTCATCTTCGACATGTGGTTCATCGCTTAAATTTTCCACAAGAGGACATGAGTGTGCGGCTGTGTTTTCCACCAACTGAACAATCATATCTTCAGCTTTAGAGGCTAAATTTGGTGGAGAAAGAGGAGCACCGATGAGTCCCCTTATTGCATTCATCATGTTTTTTCTGAAGATGTATAACTCTATCGGGATCAAACTTGGTAGAATTGGGGGACCACGAACTAAATCTTGTATTGAGCAAAAGGCCTCTACGGAGAACGCATATACCTCGGAATCAAATTTTGGTTGACCTTCGATTGGACGGAATGCCGGAAGTTTCTTTATAATTTCATCCACAAAATCTTCAACTGCACCCACGCCTTCATAAAATTCAATTTGTCCCCGTAGAACTTTCTCGAGTAAACCAAGAACTTTGTCCAACAAAGAATCCATTGCATGTGCTGTATTTTTTTTTTGTATTTTTTGGGTGAGTTCTCAATGAAAGCACCAATTGATACGGTATCGTATCGGGATAGTGAAGGATTTCGAGCACCTTCGAGTTCCAAGAACAAAAGATGCGAGAAAAAAAGAATTGCACGACACTTTGTTCGGCAGAATAGAAGAACGAGAGGGAAGAAGAAAAGATTAAAGTTTAGGAGAAAGTATTTCTTTTATTCATTGAATAATAAACTTATGAATATTGGCTACATATATAGATCGTAGAGCTAAAGAATCCTAGCTATAAAAGGTAATTAAATAAACCAAAATACTATTACCTAATATAATAATATTCCATAACCATAAATAATAAACTACCTATAATAATAATAACCATAAATAATAATTACCTAATGATGATGATAATAATAATAATAATAATAATAATAATAATAATAATAATAATAATAATAAATCCCGTATCATATTTTCTCTAGGAAACCATGTACGTACCTTAAAAATGGTATCCATAAATTAGTTTTATGAGCCACGGCCCACGGGGGATAAAGACAGACGGGAGTGGTAAAGAGAATTAGGGATGATATATTTTTTCCTTAAAGCTTAATTAATGTTCTACCCATACTTATACCACACAATTATCTAAGCTAAGGACTCATCAATTTAACTCTTTAGAGCCTACTTTGTCTTAAGTATGCCACAAAGCACTTCAGTAGATCATTTTAGACTTGTAAACCCCTTAGTTTATAAACAACATCAAATTGCTAAATACGTTCAAAAATTGCACTTTAACAAAATCAGTTCAAAAATTGTTTTCAAACACAACACGGTCAACACCAGACACCCTCAAATTGGTGTTGAAGTTGGTGATCATTTATGTAGACTTTTAAAATCAAATATTTGGAGGACATAGTGTCGATGCTATGGTGAAGCTCACTTTTATAATGGTGTAGAATTGAGTAGTGACCCTAGCCCAAAAGTTGTCCGTATTTTAGGCCGTCCCAAATCGCGATAAAAACATCCTAGTTTAAAAAAATATTTTTTAATCGGGAGTTCAGGACTGACATCGAGCCAGGTCGCGAGGGGGATAAGCCGTTGCAATGGCAAGCGAAGGGTGGGGGTACGATCTATGGGCATCACGGTGCACCACAACCGCCCCGCACCCTTCGCCTTAATTAAAGAGTCAAATACAAATAATTTTGTCCTTAAATCCAAAAAATAAGAGCGAAAATTACATGCAGCTCCCCATTTAAGAAGGAATTTATCAATTTGAGAGATAATAGCAGGCGAACAAGAAGAAACGAAGCAGAACAAAATTTAATATAATAGCAGGCGAACAAGAACAAGAAATTATCATCAATTTAATAGGAGAGTTAGTTAGTTGATAGAATCCCAATGAAACTTAGATATTGTTCTCGTACGGTCCAATCACAAAGGCTGAATCCCACTGGGATTCGGTTTACCTTATTTCCCTAAGTTTCTTTGTTTCCTAGTGTGCTTTAGTTTCCTAGTTGGAGTTTGTTTATTTCTCTTCAAGATTTTATCTTCTATAAATAAGGGGAAGGTCTCTTTGTATAGAACAGAACAACATAATATTCAGAATAATTTTTCCCCAATATTGTTTCCTAACAGATATGACCGAACAAGAAAGTACAAACCAAGTGTTGAAAAGAGGACAATAATAATTAAGTAGATGTACATCAGTGAAGAATTATTATTTTCTATTAAGAATAACGGAGGGCTAAGCCTCGTATATATAATACATGAGAATCCTAACTACGGAAAGAATCATATACAAGGAAACTACCATGTATACAATGATTACACAATTAATACTAGATATATACATAATATATATTTAACATGCACCCAACTACGTGACCGGTGATGGTCGAACGCCAAGGCTG